GTGGCCGACCCGTCTCTGGGTCAGAACCTGGCCGACCCGTCTCTAAGTCAGAACCTGGCCGACCCGTCTCTAAGTCAGAACCTGGCCGACCCGTCTCTAAGTCAGAACCTGGCCGACCCGTCTCTGAGTCAGAACCTGTCCTCTGTCCCCTCAGCAGCAGCGTGGATGGATGCTCTGAAAACACCTAAATCTTCCAGAATCTGGCAGCAGATTATTTCTCAGCCTGGTGCTGATCCAGACGGGTTTTCAGGAGAGCATGGTAACCCTGAGACACTAATCCCTGCGGGGGTCTTTATCCGACGTGTCGGTGGTATCTCTGCACGCAGGAATCAGTAATGAGCTGCAGATTCACTCCGGTGTCCGTCTGATTTCACGCTGCACCGAGACGGAGAACACAAAGACTCATCGTCTTTTCTCTAAAAAAAAATGCTCATTTTAAAACTATTTTAGAGTTTTTTGTTATTTGGTTTCATAAAATACATAAAATGTGTTTAAATGTTTTGTTTAATGATCCAAAAACTTGATTTATTTTTTTTCATATAGCTGGAATGATTTTATTCAGTTATTTTACAATTATAAACCTCAGAGTACATCAGCTGCCCTCACGAGTCTCTAAACACTTAAATTTTTTTTACATTTTTTCAGTTTTCCTGTAAAAGCAGGAAACAAACGTCTCGTTAAGGAAAAACATCCAAACAATAAAACCAGAGAAGAAAAACCTCGTTAACGAGGCTAACGAGCAGCTTGAAACAATCACTGCATCGTCCTTCGCCTCCCGACTTCCTCCCTCCTTCATCTTGACGGCCTTTCAGCGACCCTCCTCCTCCTCAGAACAATGTGGTTCTGACMCGGTTCTGTTGGCCCGCTGCCTGCAGTCTGAGCCGTGAAGTTCAGAGGAAAACACTCGTTTGTTTCGGCTCCTTAAAGCTAATTCTACATCAGCTGCAGAGGAACCAAGACTCTGAGGAGGTCCCCGAGACGTCCCTGTCCTCAGGAGGACTCTCGGTCTCCTGATCAGTGAAGTTAAAACTGATCCGGTTCTTATCTCAGAACTTTGACCCGTCTGTCTTTTATCTGCTCTGGTTTTTATCGGACCGGGTCGGACCGGACTGAGTCATTTCACATCTACAATCTCTGGTGTTTTTATGTAAACAGTTGTGACACGTTAAAGACAATCAGAGAAAAAGAATGTCATTAAAAACACAAAGTGCTAAAGCTAAGCTACAGAAGCTAACGCTGAGTTAGTTACTAAAAGGGCACTAGCTAAAAGCCAAAAACACTAGGCTCAAGTATCAAAGTTTTAGCTAAAAGCTGAAGAATGTTAGCTACAAAAAARCTAGAGCCTAAGTATGCTTTGTAGAAATTAAAAGTAGAAAAAGGCTAACTAAAGTAGCAAAAAAGTAACTAATGTAGCAAAAGCATAGCTAAAATTTAAAAGTAGCTAAAACTAGCTTAAACTTCCTGCTGCCCCGGGGTCAAAATGAGACTGAGAAACTGACCCAGTGGGTCATTTCACCCCAGGGCTGCAGGAGGGTTAACATAGTTAAAAGCTAGCTAAAAGCTAAAGTAGCATTAAAGTCTATAAAAGCTAAAAGTAGCATGATTGTTAACATTTTTAAAGGACTGGTGTTTTTTAATAGGGGGAAATATTATTAAAAAGCTAATTATTATTTTAAAAAGTATAAAAATTATAACAGCTAAAGTCACAGCACCGATCTCCTGAAGGAACCGAACGTTTTGATACGATACGTGCTCGTGGCGGCCATCTTGGATCGGTTTGGCCTAACTAAAGTTTCAGTTTGGACTTTGGAGGCTTCGGGTGATCTTTAGAGAATCAAACCTGAAACCTTCCTGTTTGGTTTTCACGTACCGTAAACCTGGACTCTAAGATCCAGGAGCAGCAGGAGGTCCACGATCCCACCGTGACCAGATCCGTGTTCTACGGGTGGCTGCTTTCAAACCTCCGGCTGTGGTGACGCACACACACACACACACACACACACACACA